CCTTGCAGAGTTCACTTTGCAAATGTTGGGTCTCAGTGCCCCTCAGCCAGGGTGGTTCATTGCCCTTGTAGGAAGAAGAACCATGAGCAAGGAAAACCGTATCAATGGCCCTTTCTATGCTGTATGTTTTCTAGTGTCTTATTTTGAAGAAGTGGCATGGGGACATGGCCGATGAGGTTCAAAGTAGAGAATTGGTTCTAGAACTGGGTTACTTGGTCTCATGCGCAGCATCTGTTTTGAGTATGTAGTGACAGCTGCCTCACATGTGGGTACATTTAATTTCTTTTCCGTGTGATGATCTCCATGCCCTTTTTTACTGACAGAGGGCTTCCACTTCCTACACACTTAACCAGAGTCATCCAGATCGGTGAGTATTGGTACCACTGAAGAACCCCCAGTGCTTCCCAGCTGTGTCTGGGTGTGGTTTTGGTCCTAGGACAAGAGCAGGTGGGCAGCACGTGAGAATCCTCAGCCTGGAAAGAGATGGCAGAAGAGAGGCATCCAGACACATACCTTTTCTCTTCTGCCATGCCCCAAGAACCAAGGGAAATCTTTGAAGTGATGTCTTTTTTGTTCAAGTGGAAAAAGAAAACTTTGCCCCACTAAGTTTCTCTTGTCATTGTCTCTTATTAATTCAAATTTGTACCACACTGCTGCTCACACACATGTATGTGTTTCTTACCTTAACCTAAACCTTCTCAGCCCCTGAAGTCATTGTTCTACTTTTTTTTTTTTTCTTATTTTATGGCACTAGAGAATGAGAACCTAAAGTCTTAGAAATCCTAACTTGAAAAAGAATCTCTAACTGGCATGGTTTGATTAATTACCTTTCCCCTGAAAGATGAATGATTTTCTTTCCTAGTGCTATATAATAGATCTTGAATAAGTGAAACCTTTGCTGCTACTTTCCTGGGTTTACATCAGTTTTTTCCTTCCCTTAAGAATAATTTCTTATCTGTGCTTCTCTGATGGCTGTTAATTTCTAACAAGTGCAGGAAGGGGTGAGCTTGTGATTTCTTCTCTTAATCCCCTCCTCATCCCACTTCCAAATTACACACTAACCTCTGTATCCTAGAGCCTGTTGGCACATATACAAGATCTGTGGGACCGTGCTCATCAGAAGCTACCTGTGTTGCTTCTCACCATGCTGCAGCTCTCAGAGCTGACCCCTGAGTATCTGTGACTACCCACCCCAAAGGGTTACTGTAGGGGGAGAGAGGCCTTAATTTTGCTTTTCTCCATTCCTGTTTTATGACTTGGCCTTCAGATCCTTCCCACTCTGGCCTCCTCCTTTTTCCTCCCAGGAATTGTTTCCAGGTGACCTGCCACATGCATTTCCCAGCTGCTCTACTCACCTTTGCCCACCTTCCAGTGACCCTGAGAGCACAGACCCGAATAATGTGGCCTGTGCAGAACTCAGAGAACTGTGAGGACCACCCATGCCTGTTAAGACTCTGCTCGGGGACAGAGATGGATGGGTAAATGGTGCTGTTGGAGAAATTTTTTTTACCTTCAAACCAGGCTCTGTGTCATCCCTGCACCCCTCGCCCCCACCCATTCCCTGAGGGGGTAAGAAGCAGAGAGGGTGGTCCCAGCCGCTTGGCCTACCCTGGAGTGCTGCAATGTGTGGGAGCCGCTGCTTGCTTGTTTCTCCACCGGGCCTGCTCCAAATGCTTAGCCAATCTCTGGGGCCAACACAGTCCCCTACAGGGTGACTTAACAACAGGTTCCATTCGTTGTCCAAGTGACTGTGTTTCCACCCAATACTTTTGGCACTTCAGGATGGGGGGAGGGGGGTTATTTAAAATAAATAAAAATCTAAGGTGGCAGTAGAGGATTTCTTTTGCTTTAAAATCTTTGAACTAAAAAAATGTTTTTATATATAAATATATAAAGTAAATTGTTATGTAACTATTGTTTCCTGTATGTTCTAATTTTGTTTTATGATGTAATTAAAAGAAATAAGCTGTGAAGACTTTGCATTTTCCTGTGGAAATAGCCTGACTTGGAGCTGCGATTTTTAACGTCCTTGAACCCTCTAATTGCAAAGGCTCCTAAGGCTGAGTGAAGGGACTTCTTTTTGGTAGCCTTACCTTTTTTTAATAGCCTTTATTTAGTACTCATTTATTTATTCATTTAATACACTTTCAGTAGCCACTGTTTAATACCCTGAACTCCACTTATCCTCAAGAAACACAGAAGACATAATATGAATCAGAGGTGCCTTAATTAACTTGATGGCTAAAACCTGAGTCCCTTATCTCTGTGCAGCGCATTCGTTGTCCTTACCTTGACTAGGAAGGGGTGAGGATGGACTAGTGTAATGGTTAAACACAAGCTCAGAAGTCACATTGGCTGGGTCAGATCTGTGCCTTTCACCCATATGACCTGTCTTCATTGGTAAGGTGGGGAGAATAGTATCTACTTTACGGAGTAAGGAAGATTAAATGAGATGATGGCACATAGTAAACACTCATATGTTGGCTGCTGTTATTCCCTGCTGTTACTCCATATGTAGTCTGTGCTAAAGGCTTCCAGGACTGAGATACACAAAGGTAAATGCCACAGGGTCCCTATCCTTTTGGTAGAGATGAGCAGCGGAGCCAAACTGGCAACCTAAATCTAACTGTCATGTTACCTACCCTGCCGAGAAACACGCTTGGGTAGACCTGTGGAATCACAGACTTGTGCGACATTCATTCACTATGCTGCATAAGGTAAACACCTGGCCTAGATTTCTGAGGCTAACACAGTCCTAGGGATGCAAGCAGTGTCTGCTCAGCTGTTTAAATAAGTGAGCCCTGGCACTTTGTAGGTCTTTGAAATAGAAAAGCAGACTTCTCTTTGCCCGCATCCCTTGTTAATCAATTCAGCCAATATTTGGAGCCTTCACCCTTCCTGCCCTCCCTAGGCAGAGGCCACCTGGTTTAAGACCAAAGGTGATCAATAAATAATAAATGAGGTAAACGATCAATAAGTAATTATGCAGGTATTTTTAAGAGGGCACTTTGACTTGTCTTCTACTTCGTGCATATGAGTTTTTACTTTTCTGTGCTTTTGGTGATTTTTGTAATAAAACTTTGAGGGGAAGGAGCATGGGGGGAAAATCAGAACAATTTCAGGTGGATTACTGACCCAAAGTGAAAAGCAAAACTCTTTAAAATATGCATAGGCATAGAAAACAATTATTTTAGAGCCTTAATATAGAGAAAGATTCAAGGCCTAAAATAATAAAAAGATTAATAAATTCATCTGTATTTTTAAATTTAAAAAAGAAAAACAGGCCGGGCGCAGTGGCTCACGCCTGTAATCCTAGCACTCTGGGAGGCCGAGGCGGGCGGATTGTTTGAGCTCCGGAGTTCGAAACCAGCCTGAGCAAGAGCGAGACCCCGTCTCTACTAAAAAAAATAGAAAGAAATTAATTGGACAACTAAAAATACATAGAAAAAAATTAGCCAGGCATGGTGGCGCATGCCTGTAGTCCCAGCTCCTCGGGAGGCTGAGGCAGAAGGATCACTTGAGCCCAGGAGATTGAGGTTGCTGTGAGCTAGGCTGACGCCAAGGCACTCACTCTAGCCCGGACAAAAGAGTGAGACTCTGTCTCAAAAAAAAAAAAAAAAACCCTAGCTTCGGTGCTAGAGAATAGCTACAGTATTTCTTAAATTTCTGGAACCAAAGTTTTAAATAGGCAAAGTGATTTGAATATTGTATGGTCTTTTGGAGGCTTTAGTAATTAGTTTTTGCCAAAACTAACTGGGAAAAAAAAATCCAGCAAGGTCTATTATATTGTTTTAGACCCCATCCCTTGCCCTAGTTTGTAGTTTAAGCAGAGGGCATTTGCTCCAGGGGATCGTTAAACCAAGAAAATTGAATAGGCATAAAACAATACATTAAATATATATACCTTTTTAAAATTAACTTTTAAAACTTTAAAAGGGATAAGTAATTTTTTTCTTCTATCATTCTAGACCCAGTTGATTTTTAAATTTTTATTATTAAATTTTAAAACAAAATTTTAACACACTCATAGTGTTCAACTCCAACACTGCTTACGGTAAAAGCTCCGTATCATATTGCCAGTGTTTTTGCCTCATAAGCTTGGCCTGCTCAGAGGAGTGGGCAAGGGAGGCTGTGTCCAGGATTCCAGCAACCACTGCTGCTAAACGGAAAGAAAAGTGAGGTTGAAAGCTACTGGCCTCCTCCCCTGGGATAAGACACGATACGGTTTGGCCTCAGTCAGCTGAGGGGTTTAATAAGGCTTCTGATGAGCAAGGAGAACCAGGCTGGCATCAGTCTCTTTTTGCAGCGGAGCTCCACTGGGCCTAGGTTAGGACCAAGTAGTAGCCATCTGGATTCTGCACTGACAGCAGTAAAAAGGGCACCACTGAGATGAGGCAGGTCCCCAACCTCCAAGCTGCCGACAGTGCATCTGCCACACCCAAGTATTCATCCAACCCTACTTCAAATCCACCTCTCGCTAGCCTGTGAACTGTATGCCAGGCTGACCAGCTCTGGCATGGCAGAGGGGTAGAAAGGCAGGCATCTAAATAAGCAGACCACAGCAGACTGCTCAGAGTTGCTCTGTACCAGGTGATACAGCAAGCACCTACCCTTCTACCTTATGTATTTGAGGGAGGTGGGAGAGGGGTGGAGGCCTTACCGTATCTAATAAACTTCCTGACAACAGCAACTGGAGTATTTTTTCCTTCACAAGAATGCATTTATTCAGTCACATTTTTCCTAAGCAATAAATAACTCTTTTGTCTATGTGAATTCGTCTCCCTTTGAGACAAAGCTGGCGTTCAGCAGATGTTTGTCAGTTGATTGGGACACAGCCTCGCCAGCACACTCACAAACCTTCAAAAAACCTTTCAGTCTCATCTAGGAGACAGAATACACTCTAAGCAGTGGCATCGCCCTTTCTAGGGCCAGCCAGACCTACTCCTCTCACTCCAAAGTCCCTACCTTTCTTCACCATGGCCACAAAGTGTGACTCATCCTTAAGATTCCGGACCCTGTAAGGGAGAAGTGGTCATGAAGACAGTTCACTCTTGGAGCCAAACAGAATAAGCCGTGACATGGAAAAGGAACCTGGATGGGAAGAGACAGCTGGCTCTGAGGTGAAAGAGTAATCAAGGCCTCCTCTGGGACTTGTGGCAGGGGACAGCCTTTTACCTGGTCGCTGAGGAGAATGAGGATGCCCCCAGCGCCTTGGTGAAAAAGACAGTGGATCTGATTGGCTGGGAGGACCAGTAGCTCAGCCAGTTTCCCCATCAACTCCACAGCACTGAGTTCATCCAGAGAGATCTCTTGATAAAAGCCTGGGAGAGTGGGCAGCACAGAGGGAGGGGTCGGGGAGGAGAAGTAAAGAAGGGAAAAAGCTTATCAATCTACTCCACCTTTCATCCCTCACCTTCGGGGAGGCCTCTGAGGGCATCCCCCAGTTTAAAGATAGGACACCCACATAGGAATGACTGAAACCCAAGTACAAGATTATAATGTTCTAATGCCACATACTCGTAGAATGACAAAATCAGTCCAGGCGGGGGAGTCAAAACAGAGGAATTCTGGAAAGAGAGAGGACTTATCTGGTCATGGAAGGCAGGGGGATGCCAAGGAGGGCATCCTGGGTCCCAGGAATGGTGGGGCATCACCCTCTCCCCAGACCAGAAGAGGTTTCATGCAGCCACACGTGAATTTCTTGTATTTTGGAGAGAGGCCAGAATCTCACCTGCATTGGGGTTCTCAGGAACCTCGTTCTCTTGCCTAGAGGCCTCCTGAGCCACATATAAAGTCAGCCGGTGACGGATGGGTCTGGGCCAGAAAAAGTCTATGTATCAGCCCTTCATACCTGAACTAACAGCTCCTACTTCTAGCCTCCATCCCTAGGAGAGACCCCTGCCTCCTCTCAGGTCTCTAGGAAGGGAGGTCACTATGCAATTATTGGGCACTTAAGGGATGCTGGACCCTGAGGGAGAAAAAATGAGAAAAACCCATCTCTGTCCCCAGAAGTTGAGTGATGCAGGTGGAGTGTCCACAGGAAGGAGGTCACAGGAGTCTAACTTTTCAGCCCAGCCTTGCTAGCTTTGCTCTGTGACCTTGGGCTCATCACTGTCCTTGGGTCTGTAAAAAGAGAGAGTGGGACCAGGTGGTCTTTAAGGTGCCTTCCAGCTTGAACATTCTATGAAACACATCTGCTAGCTGAGCTGGTAAGGGCCACTACAGTGGGAAGGGGACCTTGGTTGGCAGTGCCCAGCACCTGTCTCTAAGAGTATTGAAAAGACAGATCCCGTCGGCAGCCCCACAGATCTGGATAAGGTCCCGGCGGGTAAGCTTCCGCAGATCGGTGCCTGCAGAGTCAGACGGGGCCAGATTGGAGGAAGAGGCCTGGGATGAAGGGCAGGAGGCAAGGGACAGTCTATTAGTTTACACATAGCCCTAGTATGCCCAGACACAGGGGTCAGACTTGGTTTCAAATCCCAGCTCTGCCACTCGATAGCTGTGTGTCCTTGGGCAAGTTGTTTAACCTCTCTGGACCTTGTCCTCAAGGGGGGGTACTATATAAATCATGTGGGATAATACATAAGAGAGCCTAGAGCAGTGTCAGGTAACTCTTAGTCCTTAATAAATGTTAAAGGGCACAGAGCAAGCCAAGACAGACAGGTTTCCTGCCTGAGTGTCCCACCCTCAGTCCCATACAGGTCTGGTCCCTGCCAGGTGCCAGCCTCACCAGTGAAATTGGCCAGCATCCGGCAGTAGCTGGAGAACCGGTGCTGATGCAACCACTGCTGCGTCTCTGAGATGGAGGCTCCAGGGTTCAGGTCCTGAGGCAGAAAGGGAGCGGTCCAGGTAACACCTTGGACCCGTGACCTGAGAACAAGGGAGAATGGAAACAGCCCCTCCCTTGGGGGGGTTCCAAGTCTGAAAGGGGAGGCTCCTGCGCAGTCCTATCTGTAAATTACAATCTCCGGCCACACCATATCTGGCCACCAGGGGGCAGGACCACACTATTCTGGATAATCCTGGAGCAGCGAGATGAAGCGGCTGAGCAGCTTTTGGTACAGTGGTTGGGAAGTTGGAAGGGCAAGACTCACCTCAGCTGGGCTACACCCCAAGGTGTCCAAAGCGAATGGCGGCGAGGAACAGAGCCTGTGAGGAGGAGCAGAGGTTCAGGGACCATGCGGAGCCGTGCAAGCTCTCTCCCTCCCCACACACCCTGCCCCAGGATCAGAGCTGCCGGGTCCTCTCCCAGACGTTCCCTTCAAACCTCAGCCGCACTCTCAGCCCTGCTCCTTTCCCAAAGGGCCCATAGGAAGTATCCTCCCGCCTCACCTGTCTGGGGACAGGAGCTTGCAGGAGTTAGGGGAGGTGAGACCAATAGGGCTGAGAGGCGGCCGGTGGGGCTCTGGCCACGGTGAACACTGTGGGCAAACAAACAGCCGGTGTCCCAAGGGCAGTGGTGGCTGTTTGCTCACCTCCCTCCATCTGTCTGCTCAGAGTTGACAAGGGGCCTGCCTTGGCTCTGACCAGGACACTGAGTTTCAACACACAGGATGCGAGCAAACTAGCTGCAGGTCCGGAGGAGTCGGGGAAGGCCCCTGGAAGAGCCATCCGGGAGAGGCGGCAGCAGGAGAGCAGGCGTCGAGGCAGAGGGCGCGTTGCGCACAGGGAGGTGGTGGCTATGGCAGGACGCAAGAGAGGCTGCCTGGAAGGTGTCAGCTCCCAGGAGCCTCAAACAACAGCTGGGGCGGGGGGTGTCCTCTGCGGAAGCAGAAATCATTAGGGGGGCTGCGATAATCCTGGAGCAGTCACAGCCCTTGCAGCCTCCATTTCACCGTCTTTACACTGGGGTTCTTCTCTCCAAATCCCCGCTCCTGCTCTTGCCGCCCCAACACGCACACCTCCGGGAAGACCGTGCTCGCACAGGCGGTCTGATACTTGTCTCTCTCATGCAGGGGCTGTTTCTCGATCTTCTCCCAGTCAGTTTTCAGTTTCCGGTCAGCTCCTTTAGGCTACAGGGGGGTGATAAGAAAGCCTCAGAGGCCCCTTCTGTACCTGCCCACCTGCGTTTAGCGGGCTCTATTGGGTGGGCTCTGAGAAGATCAAGCCCTGTCTCTCTGTGTACAGAAAAGGAAACAGTCCCAGAGATGGGGCACGGCAGGCTGAGGGTCCACGGGGAAGCAGGGCCAGAACCCACACAGCCAGCGAGGCAGGTGACAGCCCTGCAGGGGAGGAAAGAGGGGCCCCAGAGCTGCCTGTACCTTGAACGCCTTGATGAGGCAGCCAGCCGAATGCAGGTGCTCCGGCGGAAGCTCCTTGTCCCTGGGCTTGAAGGTGTCGATCTGGAGGCGAAAAGGGACACCTTTCTCTCCACCTTTCTTCCGAGGCGTGAACTCAGTGCTGAGGCAGTGAATCTGGGGTGGAGAAGAAGCCACGAGAAAGTAGGGTGACTCCAGGTCCCACCCACATTCAAAGGAGACCACCCGAAACCTGTTAGTTACCTGCCTGTCACCAGTCAGCCACTTACCACAACTTTCCATCTCCAGTGTCTTTTTTTTGAGACAGAGTCTCACTCTGTTGCCCGGGCTAGAGTGCCACGGCGTCAGCTCATAGCAACCTCAAACTCCTGGGCTCAAGCGATCCTCCTGCCTCAGCCTCCCGAGTAGCTGGGACTACAGGAATGCGCCACCATGCCCGGCTAATTTTTTCTATATATATTTTTAGTTGTCCAGCTAATTTCTTTCTATTTTTAGTAGAGATGGGGGTCTCGCTCTTGCTCAGGCTGGTCTCGAACCCCTGAGCTCAAAGGATCCTCCTGCCTCGGCCTCCCAGAGTGCTAGGATTACAGGTATGAGCCACCCTGCTGGACCCTATTCTTTTTTTTTTAAAGAGCCAAGAGATGGAAGTAAGAACAGTGTCTATTGTTAAAGCATCACTTTAGTAGGTTCTTTCCCTTGTTCCAAATCCTTCAAAGGTTCCCCATGCTTACGGGATAAGAGGCAAAGTTCCTAACCCAGGCATTGAAGTACTTTGAAAGTCAAGTCAAGCCTTGCTGTGTGGCCACTCTTCTCACCATCGGTGAACCCACTGGCCCGCCTGGGCCACCCTAGTCATGACCCCAACACACAGTATAGTCCCCTAGAGGTCTCTACCCAGAAACCCCTCCCTACTTCCATCTGAGCCAAGTACTGCATGGGACATACTTACACTAAAAAATGATTTATTTAAAATTCAAATTTAACTGAACATCCTATATTTTATTTGCTAAATCTGGTAATCTACTCCAGGAAGCCTTCCTGGCCTGCCACCCCGCACAGCCTGCAGCTCTGCGTTCTGCCTGGCACCAGGATCCTAAGGGCAAGCAGGGTCTCCCTCCATTCATGCCCGCTGCCCGCGATGGCCCCCCCACACTTCCGTGCAGAACAGCTAGAGGGGCTGACTTTGCAGTGAGGAAACTAAGGTTCACAGAGAGTATGGGACCTAGGCAGGGTCCGTGCTGGGGACAAACTAGAATTGTGTCACATCTGCCTAACTCCTAGTCCAGGTGCTTAGATCACTGAAAAAAGTGGTGACAAGTATCGTTCAAGGATAAAGGGAAATGTATTTCACGTAGAAAGCGTGGAGGACACTGAAAAAGTATAAAGAAGAATGCAGGCATCTCCCGTCCCTGCACCTCTCAGAGACAGCTGCTGTGACATTCAAGTATTGTTTCTTCCTATCTTCTCTGGGCAAAGAAAAAAAAATGTTCTTCTTTTACCCAGCACTTCCATTTCAATAAATTTATCCTACAGTGGTTTTGGTAAGTACACAAAGATACACGTACCAGCTGTTCATGGTAGCAACATTTTTTAAAAATTAAAAGATTTTAAACAATCAAAATATCCATCAGAAGAGGACTGACTTGACTGGGTGTGGTGGCTCAAGCCTGTACTCCCAGCATTCTGGGGGATGGAGATGGGAGGATCCCTTGAGCTCAGGAGTTCGAGACCAGCCTGAGCAAAAGCGGGACCCCGTCTCTACTAAAAATAGAAAAAATTAGCCGCGCGTGGTGGCGTGCACCTGTAGTCCCAGCTACTCAGGAGGCTGAGGCAGGAGGATCCCTTGAGCCCGGGAGTTTGAGGTTGCTGTGAGCTAGGCTGACGCCACGGCACTCTAGCCCAGGCGACAGAGTGAGACTCTGTCTCAAAAAAAAAAGGAAGAGAATTGGCTTTTAAATAAGTTATAGTACAGGCATACATACAATGAAAATTTTGTAATCATTAAAATGATGTCTCTGAAAAATATTTAACGACAAAGGAAACTTCTTTCCTATAAGTTAAGAAAATATAGACTACAAACTTGAATTTAAATTTTGACTCTTTGTTCCTGATCCAGTACTGAATAAAGGAATAAATAAATAAATAAATTTCGATTTCTATTTTGTAAAAAAAAGATGGGAAGGAAAGAAAGAAAATGAACATTAGTGCTTACTTTGGCAACACGTATACTAAAACTGGAAAGATACAGAAAAGATGAGCATGGCTCCCACAAAAGGATGACCTGCAGATTCATGAAGCTTCCATATTTTTTTTAAAAAGAGTATGAACATTAAATTCAATAAATTTTACCCAAATGCCATCCTATCTACAGAATGGATGCATCAGTTTGCATTCTCAGGATGTAAGGATGTCTGTTTCCTCAAATCTTACCAATAATAGTTTTTTTTTCAGTCTTTGCCAATTATATATATGGAATCTCAACTAGCATTTCTCTGACTGGTTTGAACTATCTATATTTATTGCAATTTGAGTCCTTCTTATATATAAATTGTCTGCTCATATCCTGTGCCAAATTTTCTATTGATCTTTTATCTATTTTTCTTATTGATGTATAAGAACTCTTTATATATTAAGGATATAATACATTGTATATCATATGTGGCAAATATTTTCCCTTTTGATGTTTCCTTTTAATTTTGCCTATTTATTTCAGACACTACTTTTTATGAAGCTAAATCCTTCCCTGTGTTTTGTAGTTTCTTCCATCGCTTTAATGTTTAACAAGTCCTTTCCTATGTTGAGATTTGATAAACATTTATCCATAGTTTTTCTTCAAGGTGCTTTCTGGCAGAGCTTCATTCTTATTGTCCCCTCACCCCTGCCCAAGTTCACCTTCCTTTCCCAAACCTACATTGCTGCCACCCCCATCTGACCTCCCGCCTCCTCCCAGTGCCAGCTCCAGACTCACCTGTAGGAAGAGGGACGTCTTCTTGGTTGGGTCCCAGAGAAACTCCACTGTGTTGAGTTGGGAGGGCAGCACTTGGGGTTCTATCACTCCCACAGAGAGTGCAACATCTACAGGTACCGGGTGGCAAGCAGGGTGCAAGGCTCAGCCCTCCCAGTCCGCAAGGACTTCCGAGCCAGAAAGTGACTTGAAGAGTCCCTGGTCCCTTCCTATACTCACCGATGTCCAGGATGCGGTCCCCAGGCCGGCTCCACCTCCAGCCATCCAGCTGCTGCTGCTCCATGTACTGCAGGCGCCGATCGTGGAACACCACTCGCACCACGCTCTGCAGTCACAGGAGGGTGTGACGTCAGAGGGTGCCAGGGCATTTGGGAACCAGTCTTTGTGCCTGTGTAGACCAGCTTTCCCACTCTCTACCCCACTTGCTTCCCACGCCCTGGAGGCGTTAGGACTGAGAATCACTAGATCAGTGTTCAAATGCCCATCTGCCACTCACACTGTGATACTGAGGAAGTAATGTACAGGCCCTGAGCCTCAGTTTCCTCATCTGTAAAGTGGGGGAGTCAATGCCTTCCCACCCTCAGTTGCTCTACCCTTTTCTTTGCAGCACGACACCATTTGTAATTGCATGTAATTTGTGTAATTTGCTGTTTGTCGTAATAGAATAAGAGCCTGCTGGGGAAGGAAACTGTCTCTTCACTGCTCATCCCTGGCTCATGGAACATTTTCTGGCATAGAATGGGGGCTAAATAGATGACGTTTTGAGAAAAGGTCATGTGTGTGAATGACACTGTATGAATGTATTTCTAAATCTCAGCTCTGCTACTTATTGGCTCTGTGTCCTTGAGAAAATACTTAATCTCTCTGTGCCTGTTTCCTCAATGACTTCTGCCCACCCCTGAGCTGTTGTGAGGGTCAGATTCAGTGACGGACCTGAGAGGGTTCTACTTGACAATGACATCACAGTGAGGACATCGGCTTCCTGCCCAGAGGGACAGTCACACCCAGCCTTTGCCAATTCTAGGGAGGGGGTGCACCTACTTTCAGCAGCCGGGGGCACTGAGTGGCATCACCCAGCTTGGGGTTGCAGAGCAGCCGCACCTCGTATGACCGGCCTGGGAGAGATTAAGGGGATGTGTGAGCCGCATTCTGAGGGGAGAGGGGCACCTGCCACCTCCAGCCCACCCTGGGCCCAGCTTTCAGAGCCTGCTGCCCACTTTGCCCCTTCCCCTTCCCAGGCCCAGCGTACCCTGGTTCAGGTAGGTGAGGGTCTCCTCCTGCTGCTTCACGGCTGGTGAGGTGGCTGCACTGAGCACGTACTGGAACACGGGCCAGCGGGGCTCCGTGCCGGCGATGTTGGGCAGCTCTTCCTGCTTCAAGTAGGGCAAGGCCAGGGGCTCCCTGCCAGGGAGAGGAGGGCACTGCTGGCTTCCTGCCCTGTCCCGGCCACCCCCTCAGGGGCTTTGACTCTATGCTGGACCCTCCCTCCAGGGAACCTACAGTTCCTGCAGCAGGCACCCCAGCAGCAGCCGGGGCCTTAGGGACCCCCATTCAGCTCCTCTGTCCTCCGGGAGACCTCCCTTAAAGTGCTAATCCCAGATTTGTGGCTGTTCCACTAAACAGCTGCCTCAATCACTTGTCTTTGCAACCACAGGGCCTGCCTGATACCCAGGAAATGCCCAACAAACGTATCCTGCGTGGGTGGGTGATCAGGGTGTTTTGAGATGCTCCAGGACCTGCTAAATTCCAGGTGCAGTTGACCGCTTCCCTGCCTCCAAAGGAGCCCAAGAGCAGGAACCCTGTTGCCTTTGGCTGGAACGAGACGGCTCCACCGTGTCTGCCCCAACTTTAGACCAGGGCCTTCCTGGCGGCAGGGGGATCTGGCGCATACCTGAGCAGGCTGCTGGGGGGCCCTGGGTACTGTTCGCCAGGACCAGGCCACAGATGCTCTGGCTGGTTGTGTAAAACAGCATTTCGGAAAAGGAGCAGGGCCAGCTGTGTGACAGCTCAGTGCAGGCTTAGGCTGGACCCACTGGGCCTCCCAGCTGGGCCTCTGCCTTTATACACAGAAGAGCACCTGCCAGGGTGGAGCAGGGCTGGGGCCTCCTATTGGCTGAGCTCCCAGGGCTCTAGGGACCTCGGCACCCGCTGGGGCAACCCCAGTTGGGGGGAATCAGAGCTGGTGTCCCCAGGGCTGCCCTCCAATCATTAACTTGAAGTGGAGATGGAGTTACAGCAAAACAAAGTCACAAGGATGGACATCCAGTCCCACACTTGTCCCCAAGAGGTCCAGGGACAACAAGGGGCACACTCAGGCTTCAGGACTGGCCCCAGATCCATAGCTAGGCAGAGTGCTGGAGACCCCTGAGCCTGATGGGAGAGGAGACTGTCCACTCTAAGGAACAGGACACGCCAACGCACAGCGTCTCCTAGACCCGCGAAGGGCCTTTGCAGCCCACTGCCCTCCCTCCTCTGCGGGTGCACATGTGCGCGCGCACACACACACACACACACACACAGGCATGGTGGGGACAGGCACCCGTCCTTTAGCTGAGGGCTGCCTGGCCAGGCCTGGGATTTACAGAATACAGCCCAGCTTGTTGTGGCAACACCCCAGCGGTGCTGGGCGGAGGGGGAGGTGAGCCAGAGTGTCCCCAGGTAGGGCAGCTCAGGGGCTCCAGCGGGACCAGTTACTTTGCCCCTTCCCTGCCCTAGGGTTTGGAGCAGGCTGTGTTTATGGACAAACACAGCCTGTCTGCTGGCGGGGGTGGCATGGTTTCTTTCCTCACGTTCAGCGCCTGTTGTCACTGTACACAGACAGCCCCAGCCCCCTGCCCACTTCCCACTACTATGTTTGGTAGAAACAGACCTAGGGCCTTGCACAGAGCAGAAACAGGCCTCTAAAAATGTGGCCTGACCTCGTGTGACCCCAGCTATCCCGGCTCCCTTCCTGATTCTAGGGGCCCTGCCTCGGGGAGAGGCGAAGCCAGAGAGAGTCCTCCTCCCCTGGTCTGGCACCTCCATCGCCAGGTACCTGGGTCCCTGGTCCATACTCGCTCTCTCCTCCCCTGAGTCCAGCTGAATGAACGTGGGGAGTACGGGGAGGAGCCATGAGGCCACGGAAACAGCCCTGTCTGCGGGGCCAAAAAAGAAGCCCAAGTCCCTGAGATCCCCCTTGTAAGATCTCTCCAAGATGGTGAGAACCAACTCGTTGCCCAAAGTTGGATTCCAGGCCAGGAACCCTGGAACCCTCCAAGGGAAGGCAGAGCAGGGTCCCAGGAAGGGCGGGGTGTGCAGCAGGGGCACAGGAGGGGTCCCTGAGGGGCCTGGGGAGAGGGGTGGTCTGAGCGAGGTGGGGCAGGGGAGATGAGCAGGGGGGCGAGGCTTCTGGGTGGATGGAAAAAGGGGAGAAGCTACTGTGGCTGCCCTTTGAGGACACCAGCGGGAGCTGGTACAGGCTGGGTCTGCGACTCCGGAACCCAATCCCCCACCTGCTCACGGCCACTTTCTCCTCGCCCATCTCAGAGTCCCTGGGCTTCCCTCCCCATCGGGGTATTGCTGGGCCTGTTCCTAGTTTTCCTCGGGCCTCTCTCTAAGGGAAAAAGCCGGGGCCTGAGGCAGATGGAGCTGGGCGGTCGCACCCCCACCCAGGCTCTCACCGTGCGCCCGGGCTAGGCACAGCACAGGGTCTGCGCGACCCGTCCGCAGGTCCAGAGGAAACTTCTGGTCCAGCCCTCCCGCTCTGCGGAGGAGGAGTCGCAGGCCCCGGGTTGGTCTGAGGTCCCAGGGGGCAGGGGCACTGCCCAGACTCGTCTCTTTACATTCCCGAGCCTGTTTCCTCATCTGTGAAATGGGGGCCAGGTCCCCGTCCCACTCTGCGTGGCAGTGAGGGTTAAAGGCAACTCTGTGCAGTCACATCATACTCCAGAGTTTAACCCCAAGGGCTCCGCCCAGGGCAGCGGGAGATACTCCCAAGGACCCCAGCGCCCTTAGCAGAACCCGGTCCTGGGGGTACAGACATGACCACTCCGGAAACTGTCCCCCACAGACCATTTCAGGGACAATTTTTTGGGTACGATTTTTTTTAATGGATTTTTTTTCTCACTTGAAATGCTCTATCATTTCTGGACCATGCATAACCCGATCCTAATAATACAATTTGGTGTTCCCTAAGCCCACAAAGTAATTTTTTATCTGTAAAAATTGCTGAAAAATAACAATTCAGTGTCCTTCTTCTCTAACCAAAATGTTCGTTTGGTTTCTATCACCAGGCAAAGTTCCAGCCGGAGAGCTAGAGAGTGAGGTCTACTCCTCCCTCCAAGAAAGGCTGAGAGGGCAAGCTGTCTCATTCATTCATTCATTCATTCAACAAAACGCTATTGAGTGCCTACTGTGTGCCAGGCTCTCTTTCAGGGTACCCGGGGGGCTGGAATCCTGCCTTAGCCGGAGCTCAGGCACCCCGTGCTCCCCCACATTGGTGGCCAAAGGGGTGTGCCTGAGTCCCAGGCAAAGCAATGAAGAAAGAAATAGATTGGAGCACGCGGGACTTTTCAGACATTGGACACACACACACAGCTGACAGTTCCATATGGCAATCTGTGGTCTGTGTGTCTCTGTACACAAATGCCCCCACCCGGGGAGGGGGCGGGAGGGTCCCTCTTCCTAGCAAAATGTCTCTGACGCCTCGGGGTGCGCAGCTCCACAGGGCACTACCCACGCGCAGCCCTCTCCCTGGGCAGCTCTCTCTGTTCATGATTCAGACTTGCTACCGGCTTAACCCTTCCTGCGGCCCAGCGCCGGCGCTCACTTCTGCTCTCCACGCCCTGTCTCTGTGCTTCGGCGCCCTGCCACATTCCTTCGTAGCAACTACCCGATGTGCAGTTTATTCTTTGTGTATTTTGTCTAATGTCTCTTTTCCCATCGGAGTGGAAGCTTCTTAGGGACTAAGAGAGGTGCGCTAGTGTTAGGGTTAAGAGCATGTTTCTCCAAAGAGACTCTGAGTTCAAACACAGCTGTGTAGCCTTTGGCAAGTCGCTGAACCTTTCTGAGCCTCTTGTTACAACTGCATATGGGGGATGATGAGAGCTTCTACTCCATAGGTGGAGAAAATAATTGAACCCTCAGTAAATATCATTATCTTTTTTTCCATTGTATCCTCAGCTCCTAGTACATTGTAGGTTTATTTATTTAATACTTAAAAGTATAGGTTTAGCTTATAACACTTGTAAGTGCAGGGAGTCTGTTTAATAAACAGTTCTCCAGTTCTCACTATGACTTCAGAGTGCTTTTCAAACTATTAATATCTTTCTTATGTGGTAGATATGATTTTCTTCTAGTATTCTATGAATTGCTCTCCATTCTATAGATGGGGAAACTGAGGCTCAGAGAGGTTAAGTAGTTAACCCAAGGTCACATAGCTAGGGGGAGACAGAGCCAGGATTTGAACCCAAGCCATCTCAGTCACAGTCTCTGCTCTTAATCACTGCCCTATGCCCCAATCTGCCAGATAAACATATTTGGGCTTTTAAAGCAAATCCCAGGCAAGGCTGGGCACAGTGGCTCACACCTGTAATCCTAGCACTTTGGGAGGCTGAGGTGGGAGGATCACTTGAGGCCCAGAATTTGAGACCAGCCTGAGCAACACAGCGAGGCCCCCATCTCTACAAACAATAGAAAAATTAGCCAGGCTTGGTGGCTTGCGCCTATAGTCCCAGCTACTCAGTAGGCTGAGGCAGGAGGATCACTTGAACCCAGGAGTTTGAAGTTGCAGTGAACTATGATGACACCACTGCAACTCTAGCCTAGGAGACAGAGCGAGACCCTGTCTCAAAAAAAAAAAAAAAAAATCCCAGGCAACATACCAATCTGAAGAACTGGAGAGTGAACTCTACCCTTCCTCCAAAGAAAGAGGGGCTGAGAGGAGAAGCATTCCTCATGCATGCATTCATTCATTCATTCACTCAACAACTCCCAAAGAGGCATCAGACCCAGTGATGGAGGTGACCTAGGGCCTTTCTGAACTTCAGCCTCCCCAGCTGCCAAATGGGCAGAAAATACTTTCTGTTCCTCTCTGGTCCGTGAGCTGTGAGGATGGGTAACGTGAGCGACAGTGGCTGGGTTGCTGCGGTTTTGACCGACAGGGAGGGGTTCTGACCACGTGGTGGAAGGGTAGGAAACAGGACTTGGGGTCTCCACACAGTGGCTATGATAGGCGTCCTGCTTGACTTGGGAATTCCCTTGGGATGAACAGTGAGCTGCACACAGGAGGGAGGGAAAGAACTTGCAAGCGAGGGAAGCAGCTTGCCCTGAGGATTCGGGGCTGTGCCGCCTGGCTGGAGGAGCCCCTGTCCCACTGCACATGAGGTAGAACAGGTCCCGTTACAGACAAGGAAACAGAGGTATGCAACTCGCCCAAGGTCGTAGCAAGGAAGGAGTGGGCTGGAACCTGAGTCACCTCCCTGTCCTGTAAACCCACCACCTATCCAGTCGCCCAAGCTGAGACACAGGACTTCTTCCTGTATCCTATCCCCACTATGAAGCCTTTGGTCAGAGGATGCTGGGAGCCTGCTACCTCGGCTCTCTGTTTCCAGCATGCTGCCCTTGGAAGCCTGAGGGACCTCCCCAAGACACAGGAATGACCGAATTACTCCTCTACAGAGAACCCTCCATGGCCTCTGATCAGTCTCAGAGCCGTTCGCAAGCTGGGCTGTGGAAGCCCCTACGAAACCATGGCCCATCTTCCAGGCCATCCGTGGTACACAATGGTTAGCACTTAAAAATCATTTTTCTGGGGCCGGGCGGGGTGGCTCACGCCTGTAATCCTAGCACTCTGGGAGGCCAAGGCGGGAGGATCCCTTGAGCTCAGGAATTCGAGACCAGCCCGAGCAAGAGCGAGACCCTGTCTCTACTAAAAACAGAAAGAAATTAGCTGGACAACTAAAAATATATAGAAAAAATTAGCCGGGCATGGTGGCACATGCCTGTAGTCCCAGCTACTCCAGAGGCTGAGGCAGGAGGATTGCTTGAGCCCAGGAGTCTGAGGTTGCTGTGAGCCAGGATGACGCCACGGCACTCTAGCCCAGGCAACACAGTGAGACTCTGTCTCAAAAAAAAAAAAATCATTTTTTTGGTAGGAAAACTAACATGGATATTCTTGGGGTCAAATGTAAGGCTTGCAGAAATGTTTAAAATAGAGCCATGTCTTTATTCTTATTTTTTTTTTAATAGAGACAGGGCCTCACTCTGTTGCCCCAGCTGTAGCACAGTGGTGCCATCATAGCTCATGGCAACCTCAAGCTCACCTCAAACTCCTGGACTCAAAATAGGCTTGGTATTTTTGTAGAGACAGTAGGTTGCCCAGGCTGGTCTCGAACTCCTGGCCCCAAGTGACCCTCTTGCCTCGGCCTTCCAAAGTCCTGGGATCACAAGTGTGAGCCACCACACCCCATCTGAGCCATAGCTTTAAATGCCCTTCAAGTTCAGAGTGAACCACTTTGCCCACCCCCTACCCCCCCCACCTCCGCCATGGTATCTCTGGATTGCACAGCTGGGCTCCAGGGAGTGAGTCTGAGAAGCCCCTTTGTGCAGGAAAACCCGGCTTCCTGACCCGGCACTCAAGGCCATTTGTCCACTTTTTTCTGCCTTCACGCTCACCACTCCTTCGCCTCCTTGCTTACTGGCAGCTTCTGGAACAGGCTGTTCTGTTTCACTCCTCCATACTTTTGCTGTTCCCTCTGCCTGGAATATTCTGGTTCCTTCTGCCTTCCAGTCCACTCGATAGCCTCTGTAAACTCAGCTTGAATCGCAGCCCAGGTGAGCTCAGAGAGGCCCTCTGCGTGATCAATCTCTCGGTCAGGACTTACAGGAGGGCCTCAAATGCAGAGACTAGGCGCCCTCCGTGCCCAGAACCACCCCAAGCACTTAGTAGGACTTCAAGGCTTAGATGTCTCAAATGTAGACTCTCACAGCCCCCGCCTTGGCCCCCTCCCTGAAGGACGTCCAGTGCTGCTTTCTGTGCGGTCTGCAGGGGGCGGTGTGTGCCCAGGCTGGCC